ACTCATATGATAAGCTCCGCTCAACAAAGTCGACAGCGGAGCTAAAAAAGTACCCGAATGAAAGATTGAGACAAACACATGATTGCAGACAGTGTCTGCAGACGAGTTTAAAGTGGTACTATATTTGTACAACTATTAACTATGCATGTATTTAGTTCTTTGGGATGCTTTAAAACTCATATAATTGTGTTTTTTTTTTAATTTAGATAATAGTGTAAATGAACAATAAATTTCTTTATCTCATTAAATATTCAATTTCCTGTGCAGCTTTTATTTGCTCATCTCGACGATTCACACGGTGAAATCAGACTACACCTGTCTCCGATGTGAGCGTTATAAGTAGGTACTAGAGAGCCAATGAGCTGATAAATCAATCAGTACGTACCTGCCTGACTAATGCGTATTGCAAACCGATATAGAATAGATGTTCATGGTTGTTCTCGTCCAATGAGTATGCTCTCATGAAAGCGTCCAGGGCTTTTTTTTGTAATTCCTGTCGTTCTGCTTGCAAAGGTGCTATCAATAAGAGAAACAAATATAAGAGTTCGCAGATTTTTACCTATTTCTGTCAGGAGAACATTGTATTTTTCATTAATCCAATCGTTTTGGACTAAATGCTGAATAGTATACAAGTCAATCAAATTTATGTATGATTTATATGCTTCAAGTGATTTCTTATGATAACAATCGCCAACTGTCGTTTGAGCTGTTCAAAGGACATGGTATCTTGTCTATTGACTACAGAGTTTTGTACTTTCTAGGTATCTTTATATATATGGCAACCAATGGCTTGGTGCCTTTGCATTTAAGTGGCATGTTTTGACCAATCTCCCAAACTCATAATTATAGTACACGTTCCTTTAATAATAATTTATAATTCATGCATTTGTAAATGGAAAAAACATCTACAGGTCAGAGGATGTTTCAGTATAGAGGGATAATGCTACGGAATAACTAGCCAACTTATATTAGAAATTCAGCCTTATTAGGCATCTTTAAGATAAACATATATTATGGTGAGAAATTTGTTGTCAATGGTTTAAGCCTATAGTGTGTATATTGTTGAATTTTTTTATGTACACTATTTTGCATCTACAGAGGTCCCAATGAAAATTACTTTATTGTCTACCAGGTACCCTCCTTAAATAAAATGTTAAATAAATTTCTGTGTTTCCATGATATAAATGAGACATATTGTAAAGATTCAGTATAAAACACAGTTTTTTATTTATATTCGCTTTTATTGAAGATGCGCTTCTAATAGAACAAATATGGTAAATAATATATTGCTGGTGGTAATTAAAATTTTTCAAATTAAACTACAAAATACTGGAAATATCATCACAGGAAGATAAAGCTAAATTATTCATTGCAATGACCAATTAATTAATTAATTAATTGTTCAGTGTGCCACATACTCCTCAGTAAACATTGATGTATGCATGGCATCAATGTGAGAAATACAAACAGAAAGCGAGGGAATTATGGGACATTATTATCATGCTGTTTACACTAAAAATATACTTTTATTATCTTATAACTGTATATCTCACTCTAGCCGCCAATTTTGAATTGAGTATTAAATGGTCAAACTTCACACTTCAAAGTCATATTTTCTAATGACCATCCATTCCTGATACGTGAGACTAACATGTATTCAACTTACCTTCACTGGCTTTGAGACTACATCCAATACCAAGCGCCTGGTATCCTTTATGCGCATATGGACTATCATCACCTAGCTCCAGAACTTTCTTAGCCCAGTCGATACCTTCATCCATCTAAAGAAAAAGTTTAAAATGACATGCATATGATAAAGAATAGAGAACAAAGTAGAGTGGTATATCAGTTTATAGTAGTTTATAGTAGAGTGGTATATCAGTTTATAGTAGTTTATAGTAGAGTGGTATATCAGTTTATAGTAGTTTATAGTAGAGTGGTATATCAGTTTATAGTAGTTTATAGTAGAGTGGTATATCAGTTTATAGTAGTTTATAGTAGAGTGGTATATCAGTTTATAGTAGAATGGTATAACAGTTTTAAGTAGAGTGGTATATCAGTTTATAGTAGTTTATAGTAGAGTGGTATATCAGTTTATAGTAGAGTGATATATTAGTTTATAGTAGAGTGGTATATCAGTTTATAGTAGTTTATAGTAGAGTGGTATATCAGTTTATAGTAGAGTGGTATATCAGTTTATAGTAGAGTGGTATATCAGTTTATAGTAGAGTGGTATATCAGTTTATAGTAGAGTGGTACATCAGTTTATAGTAAAGTGGTATATCAGTTTATAGTAAAGTGGTACATCAGTTTATAGTAAAGTGGTAGATCAGTTTATAGTAAAGTGGTACATCAGTTTATAGTAAAGTGGTAGATCAGTTTATAGTAAAGTGGTACATCAGTTTATAGTAAAGTGGTAGATCAGTTTATAGTAAAGTGGTATATCAGTTTATAGTAAAGTGGTACATCAGTTTATAGTAAAGTGGTACATCAGTTTATAGTAGAGTGGTACATCAGTTTATAGTAGAGAGGTATATAACTTTATAGTAGAGTGGTATATCAGTTTATAGTAGAGTGGTATATCAGTTTATAGTAGAGTGGTATATCAGTTTATAGTAGAGTGGTATATCAGTTTATAGTAGAGTGGTATATCAGTTTATAGTAGAGTGGTATATCAGTTTATAGTAAAGTGGTACATCAGTTTATAGTAAAGTGGTACATCAGTTTATAGTAAAGTGGTACATCAGTTTATAGTAAAGTGGTACATCAGTTTATAGTAGAGTGGTACATCAGTTTATAGTAGAGAGGTATATAACTTTATAGTAGAGTGGTATATCAGTTTATAGTAGAGTGGTACGTCAGTTTATAGTAGAGTGGTATATCAGTTACTAGAGTGTGATATCAGTTTATAGTAGAGTGGTATATCAGTTTATAGTCGAGTGGTATATCAGTTTATAGTAGAGTGGTATATCAGTTTATAGTCGAGTGGTATATCAGTTTATAGTAAAGTGGTATATCAGTTTATAGTAAAGTGGTACATCAGTTTATAGTAAAGTGGTACATCAGTTTATAGTAGAATGGTACATCAGTTTATAGTAGAGAGGTATATAACTTTATAGTAGAGTGGTATATCAGTTTATAGTAGAGTGGTACGTCAGTTTATAGTAGAGTGGTATATCAGTTACTAGGGTGTGATATCAGTTTATAGTAGAGTTGTACATCAGTTTATTATAGTAGAGTGGTATATCAGTTACTAGGGAGTGATTATCAGTTTATAGTAGAGTGGTATATCAGTTTATTATAGTAGAGTGGTATATCAGTTTATTATAGTAGAGTGGTATATCAGTTACTAGGGAGTGATTATCAGTTTATAGTAGAGTGGTATATCAGTTTATTATAGTAGAGTGGTATATCAGTTACTAGGGAGTGATTATCAGTTTATAGTAGAGTGGTATATCAGTTTATTATAGTAGAGTGGTATATCAGTTTATTATAGTAGAGTGGTATATCAGTTACTAGGGTGTGATATCAGTTTATAGTAGAGTGGTATATCAGTTTATTATAGTAGAGTGGTATATCAGTTACTAGGGTGTGATATCAGTTTAATTAGGGTGCTATATCAATTATTTGGGTGGTATAAGTGTTTAGGGTGATACATGTATATCAGTTCAATGAAATAGTGGTATATTAGTCAGTAGAGTAGTGTATTGATCAGTACAGTGGTATATAAATCGTCAGAATGGTGTATAAGTCTGCAATGGAATATCCACAAGCATGCGGCATGGAGTTATTACATGAAATAAAATCTGACTTCAGTGTTGTGTGTAAGAGATGTACGTTAGATGTAGTTGTACATGGTGGATGTCTGTTTGATGTGTTAAAATAAATCACACATGATCGGATGTCTTCCCTTGGGCTGGTGGTTATGACCAGAATAATGATGATATCCTGGCCTTTGGCTCTGACATCATCAATACTATGGTCTCACCCCCATCCCTTGGGCAGATAACAATTTGTTATATTGCCTTCCAAAACAATCATGATTTCTGTCAACAGGCAATTTTCAGTTTACTGCAAGATCTCACATAATGCATAAAAAACGCAGACAGAACATTTTCAGCAAGAATCAAATTATTTGATTTTGAGCTTGATTTTTATTTTTATATAAATTAACAGAGGAATATTGCATTGAGACAAACTTACTTTATCAAAATTGACCATCATCAAAGGGGTACAACGCATTGTTAAGAGTTGAAATACCCCAAAAATAGTTCTACAAATGATGGTAGGACCTACATGTATGTTTGCCCCGATTTTACGAGATCACAGAAAGCGGTCTATTATGACATACCGGGGTATACTCCACCTTGGATTGTAAATCTATCTTGATACTGTAGTATATATTTATTGCGGTATGGATGAGTCTGATGCATAACACATTCAAGAAAATAAGACATGATAAGAAGAACGCCAACAAATGGAAATATTCACGAGAATTTAATGCCATGCATACTCACACGTTGCAGGTGATTGAAACACAACTTTGCGGCATGGAGTGCAACCAATGCATTCTTAGGCTCCATTCTGTGACATTCTCTCAATACTAACAATGCTCGCTGATACTGTAATCAACATAAACAGGAAGTATATAACTAATTTGATCATTATTGTGAAAAAATAATTTATACATTATCTATACAGTCAATCTAATTTTATATATTAATATGCACATTGGAGATCAAATCTGATATGCATTGCAGATCACCATATTTGTCAGTGATATGATTTCTCTCATCAATTCAATGGGTTCTATCTTACACTATGGTTCAAAAAGTATTCATTCAGGAAAGATAAAAACGATAATTTAACTGAGATAACTGTTTAATATTAACTATTCTTATCAAGAATTAAAATCACACACCCCCAAGGGTAAGAAGGTACATGTACATGTATATTTTGGTGTTGAAAAATGGTTCGATCAAATCTGATCCAAACATCTGTAAATATATCAACTTACTTTGCCAGCACAGATCAAAGATAAAGCAAACTGCATCCATAAATGAAATTCCTCAAATGAAAATCTCATTGACCTGTCAAAAGACTGGAAAACAAATTTTGGACTTATTATACATGTCACATCTCTCTCTTTCACCATAGAGGGCATACTTTTATTTCTAATACTGTGCTGGTAACACAGATTACTGTAAAAGTACAACGGTAATAAGCAGAACTTGGACTTGAAAATGGAATGGGTAAAAAAAAAAAAAAACTATTCTGAAGTTCAATGCAAATTGATTGAAGCGAGACAGGGTTAATTAAGTTAGTTGTTATTTGTTAATGATGGTAAGTGCTTACTTCTGATAACATTTCATATTGTGCTCGTTTGACCAATGCTATCGTTAAAAGATCATACACGGCGCACGCATTCTGCAAAGTGTACACCCGACTTTTAGTATGTTCCTCTGAGCGGCTTAAGATAGCTTCTTTAGTTGCCTGCAAATGAATCACAATATCATTCCCTTTATTCAGAGATACAGGTGTGCATTTCATATACATGTAGCTGTAATAAAAAAAGTATCCACCTGGCTCCATGTTTAACCCTTTGCGCGCCAATGTCCATGTTTGGCACCATCTACAAAATTATTTTATAGTTTTTTCCTTCACATAAAATGTTGATAAAAAATTACTAACCTTTTGATCAAAAACTAAAAACAATATCTGAACTTGTCTGTATTGGTCAAAATGATGATGAAATTTAGCGAAAATTAGATAAAAATGTGAAAATATTCGCACTAAATTTTAAGAGGGAAACATATCTGACACTCAAAAGATTAAATTATCCTTGCTTCAGGGGCATAAGTTAATCAGGAAATACGCAGATGAAGAAATGCCGTGTGGCAGGATGGTGTCACTTATGTGATATATTTATTTTTCTTCAGATCTGAGGGGCCCAGGAGGAAATAATAAATAAATTACTGTTGAATTTTGAGCTTACCAGGGATTCACTGATTAAAAGTAAAAGCAATGTCTCCTCTGTGACTTCTTTGGGTACAAACAAACTATAAGAGTGAAAAAGTTACACACAATATGAGGACTAATACAAGTCTGATAATAGTATGTGTATTTCCCACCAACTACCAGGAACATGCATTATACTTCACATCATCTAAAACTGAAAACCAGGAAACTAGATCAGCCCACCCAACAATGTGTTTTGTTCATGTGAACATCATAATTGTCAAATGGTTCATTTTTTTTTCTCCACAATGCTCTGTGGAAGGTTGTCTGAAACTAAACTGGCATTTTCTACAAGAACAATACATAAGAAGAAAGTTCTGTATTTCAGTACAATGCACTTCTCTAACGAGTCTGTAATTTTAAAAAGCATTTGCTAGCAGCTATACAAAGGAGGGCACAATTATTGATACATCGCATTCATTGTTTTGTATCACACAATGGCAATTAAGTCCGGGTTTTATGTACATACAGTTAATGGTTTTTAATTTTCAATCATCGTCGGTTGACGTAAAATCATGCGATTATTCCAAGCTGTCACTCATTAAATTACATGCACTGTCTCACTTTGAAACAATTACTAGAATTGGAATGAACGGATGATGGATCCGATAATGTTTCAGACTCCCAGTAACAGTATCCACAATAAACTCGTTACCACATCATTATTAGTCTTACTGTCAATTACTGAATATTTTACAACCCAGTGCTATAATAAGACGCGACTCTTGTCTCTCAAGTCTTATGATGTAGACAACTAGGCTATGTGAAAATCAAAAAAAAAAAAAAAAGAATTCTTGAGTTTTAATACTTGTGGAAATTCGTGGAGTATAAGTGTTTTTCAAATAAATTTGTTGTTACTGGTATACATTACACAAAAGAGTATTAACATTTTACATGGAAAACAGTCATTAGACATTAGTCATTGTGTTTACACAGTGTCACAGTACAAACAATGTATTTTACACAAGCTAAATACGTTGTCACATGGGATACATATTAAACATCACAGTGCAACTACAGTGCACTTTAAAGAAGTGTTATACATTACATGGTGGTACAGTTCAGATATAGATTAAGTTTACATAAAAGATACTTTTTACATAAATAAATGCAAATCATCACTCATGACAGAAGCATATTAACAGAACTGGTCAGTATTAAAAAACAATCCAATACAATGAAAGGCACAAAACGAAGGCTTATAAACATAAACATATTTATAAAACTTAGGAAAAGCTGATCAGCTTTTATTCAAATCCAAATACTCAATAGTGATCAGACGCAAAGCAATGTGTACACCCATAATGCGTGCGCATGCCTTCACTCCACTTCACATATGCAAAATGAGGCACTTGTTGATTGAATGATGCTCAACTATCTCATTATAATTAACTAGAACTAACGTTGATGTGACAATACCATTTTCTAATAATAATTCAAGAAATAATGTGGAAAAAAACCAACATCATTTTGTCAGCGTCAGCCATGATGTCAAAAGTCTGCTTGCATAGACCAATCAGATTGCTGGGATTTTTATTACACAGTATGGAGATATAAAAAATTATTACACTGCTTTATTACACTGAACTGCTATGAATTGTGGGATAAATATAATCTATAGTGCTGTATGAAGTAACATGCTGGATATATATATATATATATATATATAATAGGGTACACTGATATAACAGTAGGATAGTCATCTAAGCAAGACAAGATATATATAGTCTACACTGCTGTGTGGAGTAAATAACATGCTGGATATACATATAATAGGGTACACTGATATAACAGTAGGATAGTCATCATGTAAACATAGGTATTAAATATACTAGAATTCTACGTAAAATAAGAAAATTGAAATCGTTGAAGCTACTTAGTTCATACTAAGCAAGTTGATATTCTGCTATACTGTGATAGAGATACTCGTATGCACTTGAATCAAGCAGAGACAGTGGACTATGTATAATAACTGTTAGTATTCATCTACTACATAAAATGCACAAAATAGAAGAGTCGATAGTTGCTATTACTACTGGTATGATAATATGCACAATGAGTATCTAAAACTACATTTCTATGCAAGGTTGACTACTGATGCACTGAAGTGAAATGGAAGAGTATCCTAAAAACAGACAGAAGTCTACCAGAGATGAAGATATTATTACAAAAGACTGAAGAAACATGCATCTCTCGATTGAAAAAAAAAACACAGCTGAAAATTCTGACATTCAGCATATGAAATGCACCCATCACCAAGACAAGCAAAAGGTATGAAAAGGAAAAGTTATAACGGAACAAAAAAAAAGGAATTAAAAAAGGATTAAAAATATCTATTTATAAAACAGTGAATGATCTCCCAAGGGTAGATGATCCAAAAAGGGTGAAAACTTACTTCTCGATATCAGAAATGCTATAATAAGCCGGAAAAAGGAAGGAAAAAAAAAAACTGCTATTAAAATGACAAAGTTAGGAAAAAAATGATTAATGACAAAACTATTGCTAGCCAGAGCTTTAGGGAAGATGAGAAAACACAAACATGAACGCATGAATTGGTAGCAGCAAAAAGTGATGGATTAATATACAAATACATTCACAATACTTCTCAAATGAACAATTTTATAATACTACATTAACAATTGCACCATGATACAATACAATAGTTTACAATACAAAACTTGAAATTCTGACGTTAATTGATTTACAAACAGACATTACAGACAGTGATTTTATTAGATGACATTGATCAGTATCATGCATCGATTGTTGCCTAACAACCATTTTGAGAATCAACACATTTCATGGAAATAGAATCCTGCTCTCCCACACTGCTCCACACAATTGTGAAAGTATAACCATAATTAGCAGCATATTTTGTTTGGCAGTTTTTTTATGAAAATACTGCAATGGAACATGATACATGTCAGCCATTCAAATGTAAGTCATTGGGTAGAACAGCATTTGGATCTTTCAAGCAACACAGTAGCCTTGAAGTACACGTTCATTTTGTGTAAATAAACAATTTTGTTTATACATGCTGAAGCAACACATGGGACTTCTATCAAACATGATGTGGCTTGCTGACTGTGATGCTTTCACTCCACAATGTATTATACATGTGAAAAGTTAAACCATTATCAAAACAAGAGGTGACACTCGAACAGAATTCTTTTGACGACAAAATGGATGCTTGTGTGCTTGCAGTTTGAAACAGATCTGTGAATACTGATTTATATCTGTACTGAATCGGGACAAAAATTCATCAATACACGTGTGAAATAAAGTTCTGAATGCTACAAATAGTTACATGCTTCTATGGAATTTTCACAATTAAAATGGCTGTCAGTCACCCATCTAGAATTGTGAGATACATTTATTGATTTCCTGTCTAGGTGAAAAAGAGAGAATGTATGATAGACACACACATCTTTCATGCCTGCATAAGTATTCCAGGAAAACTGAGAACTATACTAATTCATTGAAGTCTAATTACATACATTCCAAAAAAATGAATAAAACCATACTCACTGTTCACCAATGTACTGCTTTGGTCTTAAAGCTAAGTTGGCACTTTTCATCCCAGCTACTTTGATTGCAGTCCCGATAACACCACCCGCACTAGGTCGGCTCAGAGATCCTGATTTATCAGGACCAAGAGGGGGTTGGGGAGGCGAATAAGTGCTATCACAAACCCCGCGTAATAATACTTCAGCAAGCTGCCTTGCTAATGTCATTCTCATGTTTTGCGTCGCTCTTGATTCTACTGCTCGTAAAACCAACCGAAACCTGTTAATACCACGCTCCAAATCACTACAATTTGATAGGAAATAAATATAGCTTTAGTTTAAATTTAAATAAGCAAAATATACTGTTTTCAAACCTAGAGCACAGAAATGTCTTGACCTGCAGAGCTTATTTAGTATGTAGATATATTAACAAAATATGGTGAGTGTCTAAAATAATAATAGTTTAATATTAAAGAGTCAGCATACTCAGGCTGCAAAACTGATCCATTTATATAATATTGCAGCCACCACAAAAATGTTACCAGAATTGTAGAACCATAGCAAACAATTTACTTATAATAACTATAATAATTGTAAACAAAAACTGAGAAATCTGTTAGGACCAATAAATATAAACATCTGGATAATGTAGTGGAAAGGTCAAATCATGGGATTTTGTCATATTCTAATTTTTTGAATGCCAGTGAAACGGCACCATCTTCAAAAACTTGAGCACTTGAGCACTAAACAGTGTAGCGTTCACTATGCTATTGAACCCTAGGATACCAGTCTTTTTATGTTATTGAACCCTGGGATACCAGTCCCCTTATCATATTGAACCCTGGGATACCAGTCCCTTTATGCTATTGAACCTTGAGATACTATGCTATTGAACCCTGGGATACCAATCCCTTTATGCTATTGAACCCTGGATACCATGATATTGAACCCTGGGATACCGCCTCTATTGAACACATTTATATAGAAATTACCAAGAGAACAAAAA